TGCACTGCATGGGCATGATCGGTACATGGGCAGGTAGGTGGCCATCTCGAGATGTCTGAATGTGTTATCAACACCAAGATTCCTCAATGCACATGCATATACGCGGGCACGGTTACACGATCTCGATAAGAGCCCGTTGGTTGTCCAGTAAGGCAGTGTTGACAGAGATTACCGTTTGCTGGGCAATCTCATGTTCCAATAAGAGAGCAAGGCAAGTCCCTTCCGCCCCGACGACAATCGCCCGCGGAGGTGGTCCGACGCGGAGCAGGTTGTTGATATCGAAAGTGCGGGTTGGCGTGCGTCAGCCTGTCAAAGCGAGGCGGCGGATTGCACCAGGACGGTTTAGAAAGACGTGCATGCCGTGATCTGGGGTACCCCGGGAGATCCGCAGCCACAGGCGCTGATGGCCGTCGGCGGACATGTAGCACTGTGATGACGGAGGACGATGGAGCTCTTTCTCTCGACTGAAACCTATCACGGCGTCGAAGTGAGGGCTGGCTGTCCCACTTGGGGGACGTGTGATGTCGAGGAATGTTGGGTGGGCCCGTGGTGGAGGGGTGACGTGCAGCGGTGATGTGCGTCGTGAGTCGATCCTTTCACGATAGTAGCAGAAGCCGCTCACCGCCCTTCTATAACTAAGCAACGGCAGCTCTGCACTAGGCTACGCGCGCTCCCCTCACTAACACGGCCCACGCGACACGCTTCTCTTTGTTGTCGCAGCCCTCATTGCCCCGCATCACCTGAAGCAGTGCAGTGGAATTCCTACCTAGAAGACTGCCATGGGTCAACCAGCACGCCGCACTGCTCGAGCCCGCCACGCCCACTGTACCGAGCCCGCCCACTGCTAGACTTGGGCGCGCTTCCATGGCGGAATGCGCCCTCTCGACATGATCGGACACCTCTTCAGCAGCCGCAAAGGCTCCAGCGCCGCCCACGCGCCGCCGCCGACGGTGCTCGACTCGGCGACGGAGGAGAGCCACACGCGCCATCTGCTGTACCCGGAGACCAGCACCCTCTACCACCCCGAGGGCCAGCCGTATCCCCTCCACGCCGCGCCCCTGACGCCTGGCAGCGCCCACGACGGGCCTCTGCCGGAGATCGACCTCGACTACCCGCGCGACTGCCGCATCATCATCGCCCAGGATGAGACGCCCCAAATGCCCAAGGCCATCCTGTTCGACTCCAAGCCCGCCCCGCCGCGCGCCGACCCCAACACCTCGCCCACCTCACCCACCACGACACGCGCGCGCGCGGCGGGCACAGCAGGCCCGACGTTTGGCGGACTGCATGCCCGTCGCTCCTCCCTCGCCACAGAGCCCACGCCGCCGCCGCGCTCGCCCACGGTCGCCGGCTTCACGCGCATACGCACCCGCGGCAGCTCCATCTCCTCCATGCCCAACATCGACGAGCACGCCCAGGTCCAGGCCAAAGCCCAGGCGCGGGCTAAGGAGTCGACCGACCTGGCCAACATCTGCCTCGACTGCATGTTCGGCAACCTCGCCATGAACTACCGCGGCAACTCCAACAAGATCCACATCGTGCCCCTCGACATTAAGCCCGCCGACGCCTCCATACTGAGCACCAGCGTCCAGGATGCTACCAGCTCCCTGGGCCGCGCTGAGGGCCTCCGCCGCAGAAGCCATCTCGCCAAATCCTTCACTCCCGCCAACCTCCCGACCGACTTGCCCCGCGCCGACTCGTGCGAGAGCATACCGAAAGAGCCCAAGCGACGGACCATCTTCATCACACGCTTGTTCTCCGTCACCATGCCGGACGAGGATCACGACGACCGCACGCCGACACCGCAGAGCTCACTGCCGAAAGGCAATGGGTTCCCGTTTCCGTCCACGAACGTCAAGCCAGGTGCCCCTAAGCCGCCATACCCGTCACACGTGCGGAAGAGCCCCATGTATGCCATTACCATTATCCTCCACCTGCCTATATCGAACACGTCGCCAAGCCTGAGACCTTCGTCCCGGAGTGCCAATACCAGGACTCCTGGACACCTTTCGACCTCTGCCCCGGGACAGGATTCTCTTGGTTTGTCCCTGGACTCGGATCGCCGCGCCGGGTGGGCCTTCATCGACTCTAACCTGGGTGTTGAATCACTCCTATCCTCGTCGTTGTGTAGTGACGTCGATGACCGCGTTGATGTCGTAGGCCAGCACTGGGACGTCATCATGCGCGCCCTTAGCAGCCTCCAACATGTGGTACAGGAGCGCATATTGGCTCAGTTCAAGGCGCCGAAATCGCCAGATGGCATGGCCACGCCTGTAGCCCACCACCAGAGAAATCAGCCCTCGCGCACGAGTCTTCGAGACTCCTCTCTGCAGGCCAGTCGACGAGCCCTACGATTGCAGCCGAACGCCCTCATGATGGACAAAGAGATACGAGACGCAGCGGAGCTGACGGGCAATCGCGTCGTGAGCGGCATGAGGATCCCCCGCGTAATGACAGGTCAAGGCAAGTGGGGTGTGTGGCGCGAAGAGGCCAGATGGCTTGGGCGCTGGGCAGGTCGACGAGAACAGAACTTCTTCTTCTTCAACTTGCTGACTGCTTTCCTCGGTAACCACACTGAATGGCTCAACATCCTGGGTCCTAGGTGGCACCGCAAGCGTCATCGCGAACTACAGAAAGCAACTGCTGGAGAGAACCTCACCATCCCAAATCGCACCGTCATTGTTTCCCCAGACAAGATGGCTGCTCGGAGACTTATCTTTCTATTGGCTGCTTTTCTACCACCTAACGCGTCTGCCATGGGCGACAGCACATACGCGCGCCCTGGCACCTCGGCGTCGTTGCGTGCCTACTCGCAGTCGCCTCCAACCAACATGCCACCCTCAAGGCAACCATCGCTGAGGCGACAAATCAAACGGGGACCGAGGGGTAAGCAGAGCATGTCCAACATTCTTTTGCAGCCCCCGAAACCCCAGAGTGTGCATCAGCCGTCTACGCAGGCTCTAGACGAACGTTCTGAATCGGCCCTGATTGAGACGTCAGAGCCTGTACGTCCGCTCGGCCACTCGCGACGTTCCTCTGCACATTCAGTCCGAACCACTCTAGTCGTCCCCTCCATGTCGGAAGGCCCAGTCACAACTGGCAGTACTGTAACCACCTCAACAGCCACCCCACAAGATGCGATGCCTGTCGCTCACTTCACCTTCCCTAGGACAAAGTCGTCTGGTACTATGCCTGATATGAGACCAGAAAGTAGTGATAGTCTAGCGTCCACCAACTTGATCAGCACCCTACAACGGAGCGGCACAGGCCAGACGAGCCTTGCCAGCAACGATTCCAGCAATACTAGTCGCTGGAGTGGCTTCATGAACTTTTGGAGCGGCCGTCGCTCATCCTCGACCGACCAAAGTGAGTACTTCCAAACGACAGATGATGGCGTGGGCTTTCGTGGGCAAGAGCGCCCTCGATCGCAGCTTGAGCACATGGTACAGGAACTCTCCATGGACCGTGTCTTCGAGAGCGATGCTGTCGAATCCCCATTTCCGCCTGACTCCGGCGAAAAAGACAATCTCAGTGTTTACTCTAACGGTGGCACTTCCGGTGTCCCTGCATCTGCAGCGCGGCCGATACCCGAGCGTCAAAAGACTTTTGAAAGTCATTTGAAATTGTCAGTCAACGAAAAGGATGGCGTTATCGACGTTGACCTGCCGCTCCCCGACTTCGACTCCCCTCTGCAGTCCCCACTGTTGGGAGGATTTGGGTCAGCTTCAAGTCAACCGGGCTCCAGCTTTGGCGAGTCATCGGTTCTGTCGACGCCTCACGGAGAGCCAGAACAGCCAGTTAACGTGGCTGGGTGGCTGAGTCAATTCCATCCTGACTTCGCTGTCCAGGCCATCAAACCATATCGCGAGCTTGAACGAGACATTAAGCGAGCAATGAGCGCCGAGCCCACACCTCTGAGCACGGTGACGACACCTAGTCTGGAGTCTGGTCCACTTGAACGTTGGATGGACATATGTTCCGCCCTTATTGCTGACACAAGTACCTTTTCGATCAAGCGCATCAGCTTACGGCGCCTTGTCAAGCTGATCCCCACACCTACCTACCAATCCTCGGCCATGACGCCAGGCGTTCCTGGTTTGGGACCTGGCCACTCGCGTTACGGCAATCCGTATACATCAGGCACCGCTGTTCCGATGATGACTGAAGTCCACCTCGCTGAGAAGTTCGTCACTGAAGACATCATGGACTTCGATTCTACACTGATCGATGGCGTGGACCGTGTACTGGCTCAGTCTGGTGAAGTGACTCGTGTCAATTCTGCCCAGTCATCACGATCAAGCAGCAGAAGGGGTCGGCGCGATACACGAGCGGAGTCAGATGCGGTTCCACACGTCGAAGTACCGCATGTTGACTGTAAGAGCGTGCTATTCGAAGCTTTGGAAGTTGTCGTCAAAGACGTAGCCACTGAGCGAGGAGGTAGACAGCCTTCCAAGGAAGGTGGTCAAACGAAAACGACAAAGACGACCAAGACCTCTCACCCAAGAACCGAGAATGACTCTTCCCTGAAAGAGGGAATTCGAAGGTGGCTGACAGAGGTCGAATGAACGCGGTGTAAGGTACCGACTCTCCTACCATGGCGACTTCAGATTTTGCCATCTATGTATTATATCTTTTGGACCTTTGCGTTTTTGTCTTTGCTGCGTTTTAGCGGGCGTTGGAATACTCTCACAGCAAGGTTGCGACCTTCGCTTTCGGCATCCAGGGTGGAGTTTTGCTTTGATTCGATGTGCTGCTGAGGGGATATCATCATGTCTAGCAGACATAAGGCGTGGAAACTATGATACCATAAATAGACTGATCAGATCTACTAGTATTTTCACATTTGGTGCATCTGACAAGCATGAATGCCATGGCATGTGCAAGTAACACTTTGTGTGATGTAAAGCTATGTAGTGTTGATTGAGATCTTTAGTCGATGACAACCTCGAAACATCAGCCGTCCTCTCCTGGTATTGACAAGAGATGACTGTCCATGGCTCTCAGATATCGCCTCCAACAACAACATCAAAAACACAGTGCACAACACCAGGTGCATACATCTTCACTTTCTCCACATGTTCGACCAGAGCCTTCCTTCTCGACGTAGCATCCCTCTTGTCCACCAAACTCTGGAATTTCTCTTCTACAACCTTTCGCCTCGTCTCGATATCATTGACGCCCACATTCTCATGCATGTGAATCCATCCTCCGAGCTGCTTGTCAAGCATTGCAACCGCATTACCCCATGACAGCTTGGAGGAAGGCAGCAAGCCTAGATTGACGTGTCGAACAGGTGGCTTGGGCGATGGGAGTAACGCGTAGTCCGTCTCAGCACTTTCGTTGCTCGTCTGAAAGACCAGAAGATCCGCTTGGTGGAAGTTGGAATCGTCCACTGCGGGATTTTCATGCAGTCGCTCTATGTCTGTCTTTTTGAGCACTCGGCACGTCCACCCATTCATCTCTGCACCTCTCCGTAGTCCTTCAACACTCCACGGGTTTATCTCCCAACACGCAACTTGCTTGATTCCTGTATCCCGTCTGTCTCCACTCTTTCTGTACGAGAAGGCAAAGTAGCCGATTCCAGCGTAAAGATCGACGGCTGTTGATGCGACGTTCGGATCATTGACCGAAGGGAGATTTAATATCCTTGCTTTCTCATTGACATTGCCACGGCTGAACATCGTATAGAGCGGCGCCCAGGTCTGCCAAATACCGTTCTGACGCGCAGTCACCCATAGGGCGTCGGCGAAGTCTGTTGCTGATGGTGAGGTGATGGTTTGCGGTGTTGGTGCAGGACCGAAATTGCCGTATAGAGGTGTGAGATTGGATGGGCTACGCAGTATGTTCTCTTCGCCTGTCGTGGTGTCGGATGATGGTGATGTCGAAGATGTGGATATGGGTATAGGCGCGTTGATGGCGACGTGCGTTGCGCCCACTGATGTCGCAATATCCCGCCATGCTGCTTTCATTTTCTCTGAGTCTGGTGGATAGGTGGCGATGAGGGCTCGCCACGGTGTGGAGGATAAGGCGTTGTGCGGAAGGAGAAGCATGGGCTTGTAGACTGAGTATCCATCTGGGAAAGCTGTGACAAGTGCTTCGACCGTGAGTGTGGATGGTACAGATGCGAGATCCAGGAAACAAGTGAGCGCGCTTCGCAAAGCCTTATGAAGGGGGCTTCGGTGAGCCCCATGCGGGGATGCTGCCGTGCTTGGGACGTGGTGTGAGATGGATATGTCTGTGGAAATCTCGTCCAGTGCAAGACTCCCTATTATCTTGGATAATAAACCCTCCAGATTTAGGATGTCGTCTGAGCCGTTCAATTGCGTAGGGCACGAAATGGTCGTGGGGATACGCATGCGCTTTGGGGTAGTCTCTCTAGCCTTGTTGGCTTCCACATTGATGGTAGAAGGCTCGACATATTCTCCTCTAACCACATCGAATTGCAGGGTGGGAAACCTGATACGACTGTCGCGGTCACCAGGTGCGTCAGCCGCCAGATTCGGAAGCTGATCTTCAATCATCTGGCTTCCATCCCGGGCTCTGTCTTCTAAGAATGACCGGTCGACATATTCGCCGCTGGTCGCGTCGAAGTGGAGCCTCGGGAAGCGTGACTGCTGTGTAAGGCTTGGTGGTGCCTGCGAGGCTTCTGTTGGTGATACTGCAGTTTCTGCTTCAGGTGGAGACGAATCTAATGAATCAGCATCTTGTTTCAGGCCAGTAAAGTTTACGGCAGGTTCTGGTGCTCCGTTGTCAGTCAACTCAGGGACAATCTTGCTGCTCCGATCTAACTGTCCGGCCCGCTCGAGGGCAGACTTTACAGTTTTGACATGCTGCTTAGGTACAGCAAGAACGATCCTGGAAGTTGAGGTCTCCATCCTCCCTAAAGTTAAGATAAGCGATGACGGCGAGGTTGTGTTTGGGAGAACATTGGAGAAAGTCGATGCAACATGACGTGGAATTTGTGCACTTGCTAGCTTCAGGCAGCACTATACGAGCACAAGACGCTTGAGGACCGTGACAGCTGACAATTGTATTGCATCGTAACTGCCAAATCTGCCGGATCGTCTGCGAAGTCCATCTCGTCTGTCCTTGGAGAGAACGTCTGGAGGCACGGACGAAGCTTGACATGGTTGTTGCTGTTTCGAAGCCCCGCCCCCACCCAAGCTTGTGTGGGTAAGCGTATGACGCAGTTCACAAACACCCAGCTGGCGCAGCACTTGCACTGACATACACAACATCCACCCCCTCATACATCCACAATGTCTCTCACGAACCTCGATCTCATAAACCAATGCGACGGCTTCCCGTATCCCGACGTCAACTCGGAAACATACATCGCGTCCATCAATACGTATTACCAATTACGCGTCTCGGGCTACAATTATGCGCTGGGTTATATGCTCCCCTCCGTTGTCGAGGTGTTCCGCGGAGTACCCGGCTGGGAAATCGACGACGATGCTCGCATCCTCCATCTTACAGCCGGATCCAACGTAGACGAGCGGTCGAAAGCGGTAGAAACGACACTGTTGGCCATGCGGCAAACAGGCCACTTCAAAGTGTTGGACAAGTGGCGGAACGAACTGTATGCTGTGTATGGGCTGGGGAAGGAATTGTTGTTCAACGTGGAACGGAGTGCTAGCTGCCTGTTCGGCGTGGTTACATACGGTGTGCATCTTACGGCATTCACAAGGAAAGACGGGGAGCTAAAGATCTGGACTCCAAGACGGGCGCGGACGAAGCAGACGTATGGAGGCATGCTCGATAATGCAGTTGCAGGCGGCATCGCATCAGGTGAGTCGCCATTTGAGAGTCTTGTGAGGGAGTGTGGAGAGGAAGCTTCGCTCGACGAAGAGTTCGTTCGGGCGAATGCGAAGGCGTGCGGCACAGTCACATACTGGTATATCCGAGACGAAAGGGCAGGAGGAGAGACGAACCTGATGCAGCCCGAAGTTCAATATGTCTACGATCTCGAGCTTCCCGAAGACACAATCCCGAAACCAGGCGACGACGAGGTCGAAGAGTTTTACTTGTGGAGTGTGGAGGAAGTGCAAGAAGGGATGAAGAAGGGCGAATTCAAGCCAAACTGCGCGTTGGTCGTGCTCGACTTTCTGGTGCGCCACGGCATTCTGACGACGGAGAACGAGCGCGACTACATCGAGATTGTGAGTCGACTGCACAGGAAGCTAGAGTTCCCTACACTGTGAGAAGGAGAGGGAAAACTTGATATTCCCGCGCTAGAGAGGCGGGTGAATCTATCGAGTCCTTTGGGGGTATCCAGACGCCGTGCCGAAACTTTTAGACCAGATGATACCAATACCAACACAATGCTACCAAACGCCTATTCTATGCTTGCTTCCCTTGGATCGTTGTGGAGGCGAAGACACTAGTACTATGAGTGCTTGATGAGCATGTAGATGTCGTCGATCTTGAGGCCGCTGAGCTTCCTGTGAGGGCCCTCCATGTACAGAAGCAGCCCGCCGAAGCTGGCAAAGTACTTTCTGCGCTGCTGTCAGCACCCAGTACGATCAAAGCTGAAGCGCGAGCTTCACTCACATGATGTCGCCGTCACCACCCTCCATGCGGTAGTTCTTCCCATAGCACACGTAGTCGTACATGTCGGCCAGTGTTGTCACACCCTGCTTGCCGACGCTCCTCCACATGGAGTCGTTGTCGCCCTTGGCACTGCCGTCCAGCGCCAATGTCGTTGCCAGGACCAGGCTCAAGGTCTGGCCAGCTTCGACCGGGAACAGTTCGTGGTTTATGTCGAGAGACATGGTGATTTGGCTATCGGTCGAGGTGCCAAAGATGCGGGAGACGCGGTCGTATTTCTCATTGTTGATGGAGGTGACGGTGAATGTCTCTTCGAAGACCTGGGCGTCGGCCATGGTGGGAATGCGCGTGGGGTGGGCGCGTGGGTGAGTGTGCGGCGGGTGATGGTGTTGCGACAGTTGGTTCGCGCAGGCAGAAAGTCGTCGGAGCGCGAAAAGCGACGCGTGTCTTGGCGGCGCCGCACTTCCGCACCCTCTCCGCATCGCCGCTACGCGCACCGCCTGCCAGCCTCACCATCGCGCCTTCCACGACTGTGCTCTCACATTCGCAATACTCCCACACATGGCTCTGCACCTCCATGCGCCTCACCACATCACTCACCCAGTCACTCGCTCACTCACGTGAACAGTCAGTTGCCTCAGCGCGCAACTCCCTACTTGGGTACAACTGCTGCGCCCCAGCCTGCCCTCGCTCCTCTGTCCCCTCTTCTCTTCCCACTCCACTGTCTCTCACCCATGAGCTACGATCGCTACTTGATGAATCTCTTCAGCCTGCACGACCTTGACTATCTCTCGCCCGATATGCCCGACTTTGCTTCAAGTCGTGACTGTAGCCCTGTCGCTTCCGATGCACTCAACCAGCCCAAGTCCAAAGCTGCCGCGAGCCAGAGCAGCATGCTTCTCAAACTTCCCGACGACATATTCAAGTGTGTCATGGACTATCTCGACCGCGACGCTGCCTGGAGCCTGAAGAGGCTTTGCAAAGGCATGGCAAGCAGCGTCACCGTCAATCAGCTCCTCTACAAATACCCCATACAACTCAACGATGTGCGCGACATCAGACTAGGCGACTGGAAGTACAGAGGCCTGGGTAATATACGGTGGATAAGCTTCCAGGAGAGCATCACGGATGAGAACCGCCGACACGTACACAAGATGGCAATGTCACATTGGGCGAGTATAGACGACTTCAAGTGGATAGAAGAAAACCTACCATGCCTGACGAGCTTAGACATCTCGGCCATTAAAGACTTCGTATGGACTCCGGAAGAGACGTGGACGTGGAGCATGCTGGCTGCTGCTTGCCCCAAGCTGTTCGGCCGCCTTGAAGAGCTCGAGGTTGCCAATTGGGCTGACTACACTGCGCACTCCCGGATTGAGTACAGCTACTCATACAACGACTATCGCTTCAAGCAGGGCTTCCGCATGTCCAGAAGGCACAAGAGCGGTTCTGTCGCCAGCATCATCTTTCCAATCTGCAGCAAGCTGAAGACGCTCGCGATACGAGAGCGCTACTCAGGCTTCCAGTAAGTTTTGTCCACCATGAGTCCTCACCAACGCTCCTAGTACTGACATCCAGCCTAGCACATGGAACGAATGGGAAGTCCACCAGCGCGTCTGCTGTCTTGTGGACGGTGTGCAGAAGCATTGCCCAGACAGCATGACGAAGCTGAGGATCCACGATTACGCCCCCTACCGATCCCTTTTCTCTACCGATGCCACAGCCTGGTTGCGAATAAAAGACGTCGAAATCGGCTTATACTCATGGATGGAGGACCGTCGCGATCGCGATGTAATTGGTCCCATACCGTATCGAATAACTCAAGGGCATCACCATCGTGATGAGGAAGAGGCATTCGATGACAAGACCTTCGAAGACTGCGGACGCGATCACATGGAGCTGGGCAACCATGTTGTGCAGGGCGTAGGAGCTTCATTCGAGGACCTGCTGCAGAGCCTCCAAACCATCTCCAACAAGTATCCAAACATCAACATCAAGCCCATACACGGTCTTCAAAACATCGTCCTTCACCCATTTCATCTCATCAATGTAACGCAGCGCCGACATCACTTTGGCCAGACTACGCAGCAGAACAACGACCAAGCGATGAGTGACCCTAGCTCCAAGCCAGAGGTCCAGGAAGCGCTGCGGTGGATAGCTGAGAAATGTAACTGGAAGCCCGTATTCACTTGGGAGACCCTCATGTCCGATGTCTTTCCAGCCAATCTCGAGCCCAACCGGACACTGCTTCCGAAACAAGATATTCTGTCTCGTATACAGACTATGGTATCCACCTTACGAAGCTTCGGTATCCCTATCCGTATTTCCATTGGCGAACGCACAAATATGTCTCCCGCGTCCGGTATTGACGGCAACCTATATTTCGGCGACTACAAAACCTTTGTTGGGGAAAACGCGGACAAGCGTGAACTGTTGCTTCCGACCCAAGCCGTCTTCAGTCTTACGCCCATCGCCGCCATGGTTGATGAACTCAGTATCCAATACCCCGCCGACGTTCCTGGTGTCTCTGGCTGGCTGCGTACAGCGAAGCGCCCTACACCCGCCGAGGTAGCCCTCATGAAACGCGAGATGATTGGCTGGAGGCGCTTCTGGGCTCGATACGCTTCCCAGTTCAAGAATCTGAAGAAGTTGACCGTTAATGTACCCAACGACATCTACGAAGACTGGGGTAAAGGCGAGCTCGTTAAGTTACTAGCCGACGAACGGTGGCAGATGCTTGAGGTGGAGGACAAGCAAGATAATAGCCTCTTCGGGAGCTACTTTCCGTTCAGCAGTACTAGCTCATCGTCTGCTCTACGACACAACCTTTCGCGTCGGCGTACAAGAGCCAAGTTTGTTCAGCGGGTCTTCTTCAGGCTTGACAATGGACCGTTGGACCTCGAGTGTCTACCTGCGGGATTGAGCGAGAAGCAGAGAGAGGAAAGGGAGATCACTGACGCCGAGATTGCAGACAAAGAGGTCTTGCCACATCGCTTCTGGCATAAGAGCGATGACGTAGACGAGGAAAAGGGCGAGAAACGCAAGCGAGACCCTGCCGAGGATGGCGGTAGCAAAGAGGATACGGAGAAACGACGAAAGGCCGATCATGAAACTTGCGCCCGTGCCATTCAGTACGTTCAGCTTCTAGCAACTACAACAGAGTAGCAATTGTATTAGTAGTCTAGCATACAAAGTTTGTAGTAACCATCCATGATGATACACAAATGTCTCGCATATATGGGTCTCTGCTTATCTATTTTACAAAAGGACACTACACGGAAATTGTTGTGTTTGCTCGTATGTCCTTGGAGCTGAATCCTGAGAA